ACAGGTACAAGTTCCTAATGATAAATGTAAATATATTGTATACCTAAAATGTACCAATAAAAGAATTTAAGGAAAAAAATATAATAGGTTTACCTTCAGAAGGCCAAATGTGGCTCCATAGAAAGGTTGGAACATGACTGACCAAATCAATTTCCAAAGAATTCATACAGATTCTAACACACTGTTGACCTTGAAGTTGACCCACTGCTCTATAAAATTCACCAATAATATTGTAAAAATGTTCTTTTTCCCCATGAAACAAATATATTTGACGTATATAATTTTATTTACATCAACATAAAACAATAAAATTACTATGTTAATGTATCAAAAGGACATACATGTTTTGCTTTATTTTGTTCATTAGAAAAATACAATTTCTTTGGTATTCAGTTATTTATCCAAATTTCTATTGTTAAGAAGATCTGTTAATATTTAAGAAGTCCTATACTGTGATATCCTTCTCAACCCAACCCTCTACCTTACTTTTTGGAGTTAGAAACAAGTATCTTAAAAATAAAAAGACCTCATCAGAAAAGGCTTATTCAATTTTTTTCTGGAAAGAGTTTCACTTATACGAACATGTGCTTACAGGCAAAAGTCTGGTCTGAGAGCAAAATATGATTTATTTTTCTCTAAACCAGCCTGCATGTTCCATTCATCAATACATGTCCCTACATGTGGAATCCTTTTCCGCATAGTGCATCACTCTGCTCTGGGGACTCTTTGAAAGTGAGCCTTTCAAGTTCATGCCCTACAGATCCCTGAAGAGTCTGGGAACTTACCCTTTGCTTTCACTAGCTATTTGAAAATGGAATGCTTTGGGGCTACACAACATAGCTGTGCAATTCATTATGGGACAAAGGAATGTCTGGGGTTAGGCAGGCAAGCTACTAATGATCCTTCATTTTGTCCAGAAAGCATCAAGATTGATATGTAGGACATGCAACATTTATGGAGCACTATGTTTTCTTTTTCCTCAAAGGGAGGGAGAATATACTAGATGATCTCTCTCTCTCTCTCTGCTGATAGCAACAGCATTGAAATGATTGACACTGTTTTATGTGTGCCTCTGGCCTCTCCTTCCTGTCTCCTACTAGCAATACTGCTGCTTCATCTTTGCTAACTTCCTATACCATTTATAGCAGTCCTCAATAGTTTGATTTTGGGGGACATATATTGTATTTTTACCTTCCTTGGTTCAGGTAATCAAAATCTAGAAATAACATTATAATCTCAAATGAACAGAGTTACTTTGGGGAGGATCTAATAGGTAATCATGATACATAATACTCATCAAAAATAGATCTTTTCTAATAATTTTGGGAGTACCCCAGGGAGAGATAAAGTGTGATCACAAAGCCAGTATCTTTAGAGCCCAGTATTGATGTGAATCATGTTTAATAATTATATTATTTCTACAGTGATTCAAATCAAAATGGTAGTGACAACATAAGTGTGGTCACTGTTATATGTCCTTGAAAATATCCTTAACAGTATGAAGTTTTTAGAATTTGAATTTACGGGCCATGTCAAAGTTTTGGGTTGAAGTAAGTACTTTTCTTACTTTTCCTTTTTATAGAAATAGCACAATAGGGGACTGGAGATTTAGCTCTGTGGTGACATGCCTGCCTAGCAAGTGTAAGGTCCTGAGTTTGATCCCTGCTACAAGGAAAGGAAGAAAGCAAGCAAGCAAGCAAGAAAGAAAGAAAAAAAGAAAGAAAGAAAGAAAGGAGAGAGAAAGAAAGAAAGAAAGAAAGAAAAAAAGAAAGAAAGAAAGAAAGAAAGGAAGGAAGAAAGAAAGAAAGAAGGAAAGGCACAATAGGTGATGGTCATCTCGGGAAAATAATTAGTTTTGCATATCCTGTAAAAGTGATCATTACTGTCAAGAGACAGAATGGCTCTGTGCTTGCTCATTTCTGCACACCATCCAAGTTGTATTTATAGTTGCTATATAAATACGGCACAAATTGCTCTGTGATTGCTTAGGGTGAGACTAAAAGCAAAGTTCTATTATGAAAGGAAATCTAAGACCTTACCACCCAGAACATTCTCAATCTCATCTATTATGAAAAGAAGATGATTGATTTAACATTCAATTTTTTCTATTCCTTTCTTAGTGTCTGAGTACTCTAGGTCATTATGATAATGCTATAGGTCCCTCACTCAAACAAACTTAAAATACTGCATTGAAATCATCAATATGAAGTTCTGCAGAATCATAAATTTCTGAATTTAATCATTCTAAATCTTGATAATGAGAAATGTTGAGATTCTCCAAATATTTTTCAATTCTGTTGTTGTTTCATGTGTATCACATTAATTAATGTTGGTTTTAATTAGTATGTCTCTAACCAAGGGCCAGCTCTCTAAAGTATTATATTGAAAGAGGTTATAAGAATGATCATTTAAAAAATAAATCAAAGGGTTGTTTCCAATCTGCTGCTGGGGATCACAGTGATATTCTACTCTCTGTATTCAAGACAGAATACAAAATTGGATTAAGATATAAATTACTGAAAATAAGAATTAAACTACACACAATAAATGAGCTATGAGGATCAATTAAGGCAGACAGTACATACTCAAAATTGATTATACCTGCAATAACTTAGTAATTATACCCAATGAGGACATTTTTCTACTTTACTTTCTGAATACCCATACTTTGCATTATGTCCTCTTCTATTTCACTTCAAGTTTAGGTGTGAAAGAGTAAGTATCTTCAGTTAGCATATGAAGTTTTTATTAAACTCTATTTGATTTCCAAAGTAATGCATAAAAGAGCAAACTTGAGAACTGATGATGGTCATTATTATGTATTTAATTATATCATTAAATACAAATCTCAGAAGCATAAATTTGTATCTCTAAAAGTTATAACTACTCATTTTTTTCTTGCTCCCATGAGATACAAGTGAGAAACTCATAACCAAGTTCCTGCTATTCACAATGTTTCCATTGGGTGTAGCTATGATATTAGATAGGTTAATATCAGAGCCTGTGCATTCACGAAGGATGCCCAGACATTTGGGGATTCATAGTGACTTCCTTTGTCTTTAGCAGTAAATAGTATTAGTAAGCTGTATGTTCTATGGGGAAAAACAAATAAAATGTTTTCAAATCAATTAGATCATAAAGGATTTCAATATATTTTTCCCAAAAGGAAAAAACCTACAATGTTAAAATCTGTGGACATTTAATCAACAATGATTTCTACATTATTTTCCTGTTTTTAAAAATCTTTTGCATAACTATGTAATTCACACCTAGTTTGAATGCTTTCTACATAGGCAGAAACTGTTGGATAAATTGGTATAAATAAGATGAAAATCCCCTACAATGCAACTCCATTATTCATTGACAGGTCTGAGCAAAGTGTCTTAAAATGCCTGTTTATGCTAAAAGGAAAAAAAAAAAGTATTTCTCCTAGAATGCAAGGGCAGCTTACATGCTGAGATGAAAACTGCTAACTCCTTTCTTAACAACACCATATGTCTCAAACTGGATCGTGATGCAGTCAGTTCTCAAGGGAATGTTATGCATGGAAGCTAACCAAATCAAAGCACAGACTTCACTGTTTGTTCACTCACTGATTATCCAGTGATCAGTTACTTTGGGTTTTTCATATCATCTGCATGTCACTATGATGTGTCTTCCTGCTTTCCTGACATCCTCCCAAAATCAGCCAAGTCAGAAAATATCCTCAACTACTCCACACAAATATTTTGTTTATTTACATTTTTTTCTATATAATGTCAATGTATTTTAAAGAACTGATATACTTAACCCATGAATTCTCCAATGGATTTTAAATGGATGCATTGTAACCCAAACACTACTGAAATCTGCCTTTAAAGAAAAGACCAAAAGAAAAATATTATAAGACTAAAAAAGTCACTTTTCCTGTGAGAATCATCATAATCAAATCATCTTTATTCATTGTATTTTTCCTCAGTTTAACACTTCAATCATTAATTTTTGTATGCATTAGTGAATTACTTTTAAAATTTACTTAATATCAAATACCTTTCAAGTATCCTATTGCCATATTAATATCAAGTCGAGTAATTTATAATCCTGATAGACATTTTATATTTAATTCTTTTTTGTTAAAGGTAGTTCTTACTAGCTTTGTAAGCTATATCTTTGTAAGATGTGTATAAAACCTTAAGATTTTTGCCATGAGATATTGTGAAATGGCATGGGATAGTCTAGAGTGAGACTTAAACTCTTTCTAATGAATGTAAAGTATTTTTAAAATCTTTCAATCTGCTAGTTATTGATATTTCTGTAAAATATAAAATTATGCACTCAAATTTCATGACAAAATGTTTACAGTTTTCTGTACTTTTCTTATCATGGACTGGTAAGATATTTGGGGACTGCCATTACTCTGTGAACTCTACCATGAGTATCACTGCTATTTTATAAATTACAAATGAAGCTTTGACTTAATTTTTTTTTTTTTTTTTTTTTTTTTTTTGGTACTGGGGATTGAACTCCAGACCTTCTGCTTGCGAGGCAGATGGCGGAACCACTGACCTAAATCCCCAGTACAAAAAATTTTTGTTTATTATATATGTGTGTAGTACATAATGCTTACATTTCCTGTGGGAAGCTGCTACATGCACATTACACATCCTAATTCCTTTTTCTCATCTCTTGTCTCTTCTCTCCCTTCTCCCACACTCCATCTCTTAATCCATCCCCCATTTAGAATAATCTCAAGTTTTCAACATTAATTTTAAGAGTCATAAACAAAACATATTTCTTTAACTATGTTTTGCTCTGATTTTCTTCTCATTTTTATTACGGAATTAGTATCATATATTCAAAGAAAGGACAAGGAGGAATCACCAAGAAACTTCTGAGAAAGATCATTTGCTACATAGTATTGAAAAATATATATTTACAAAAACAGATATGGCTGTGTAATCATTTTAATAACAGCAATAAGCCGAGGCACTATTTGGTTATTTCTTCATGATAGTTCTTACCTGGGATACCTGGTGGTGTTTTCAGATATTTTCCATTAAAATGTTGAATTACCACTTCACATTTTTCAGTAGACTCCATTCTAGGAAAAGAAAGCAAACAGGAGATCAAACACTTTTTATGTTTTATGTGCTTTTATATATTTTGTTATTTTTTGTCAAGTTCTGCATACCAGAAAAAGGTAAAAGGAGGAAAGAAATAGAAAAGGAAGGAAGGAAGGAAGGAAAGAAGGAGGGAAGGAAGGGAGAGAGAGAGACAGAGACAGAGATGAGAGAGGAGAGAGAGAGAGAAAGGAAAGAAAGAAAGAAGGAAAGAGAGGAAAAATAAAAAAGGAAAACAAAAAAGTAATGGAAAAGTTTGATTTGGTAATGATCCAAATTGTCAACTGTCACCATCACCATGCTGAGCACTTTGGTAGTAAAACATCACAAAATCAACAGTGTTGAAAGTATATTCTCTGTATCACAAATTGCTATGCTGATGTCTCTGTGCTGAGTCTTCCTTCACCAGGAAGTGACCCTGAGATGCTGTCTTATCTGATTCAGACAAAGATGTTTGGCGATTGAAAATGATCAAATGTTTATAGAATGACTAAATTAGAAAATCTGAAAGGTAGGTCATAATGATGAGGGCATTGAGGCTTGACAAGACGAAGTTCCTTTGCAATAAGTCCTACAATGAGGATTTAAACCCCAATGTCTATCTAATATTAAAGCCTGTACTATAACTAGTAAGCTATACTGGGAGGGACTCCACAAAATAAATAAAGATGTGTTTTCCTTGAACAACTTGCAACCTAAAGCAGCAAATAGCATAGTAGTGTAGATATCAGCATCATATCATTTTTAGTGGAAACCAGTGATGTGCAAGATACCCAGAGTGAGTTATTTTGGTTCCTACACATGACAGGAAAATATAATAAATACACAAACCTGAGGTCCTATACTTTTGATGCTTGGGCAATTCCTCCTTTTCTATTTTGTACTAGATACCAATATTCTTGAACTGTTGTTCTTGTGCCAAATTTTGGCATTGCACATATAATCCAAGGAATGACCATTTTAAGTGATACCATCATGATTTCTGGCAGTGTTGACATGTCTCAAATACAATAGCATTTGTACCAATATTTAAATAATGAGCTATATTTGCTTTATTATTTAATAAAATTAGATAGGGAAGATTGAAATTAAAGAGTTGATTTTGTTGAAAGCAAATTAATTCCTACAAAGAGCACATTAGAAACAAAAATAAATTTAAGAAAGAGTTCACACACTCAAAAAACAATGTATATGAAATGTGTGAAATTTGTTCCAAAGGCAAAGTATAACTTTGTAATTTCTGATATGTTGCTAATATGAACTTTCTTGGAATGAAGCCCATCACTACAAGTTGTAAAACTTTCTATATCAACATTTTGCATGTGTTTTCGAGACCATATTACATGTAGGAGAAACAAGATAAGAAAAAATATGTTAACAAATGCCAATAATTAATACATGTTTATTATAACTACAGAAATTCAAATACGGGAGGAAGCACGGAAGCCAGGAAAGCACTGAGACGCAGGCTCAGAAAGCAGAAAAGCCCTGTGGAGAAGGACAGAGGGCAGGGACTGAGCAGGGCTGGTGGGAGGGCCTGGGTCCTCCGTGCAATGCAGAAGAGTGGAGAGTTCACCTGGGAAACTGCCAGAGGACTCAGGCAAACTATCTGTATCCTCATGCGAATAAATTTTAAGGTAAAGCCCCCCACTGGGGGCTGTAATTGTTTTCTGAAAATTTTGTACAGGTTTGTTTTTAGATGTATAGTCCTAGCAAGCATGGTATGAAATTTTTCTGTACTGCTGTGCATGGCAAGTCTTTATCACCAAGCAGAACAAATTCATGGGCAAGCAACCCTTGTCCTCATATGGATTCCTTGCCTTAGAACAATCCTGCACTTGGTTGAAATCTCTGCCATCACCATCTATCTTGAAATTGCTAATAATTTTATAACAAAGGGTCCTGTGTTCTTGTTCTTCACTGGGCCCCCATAATGTATGTTGCTTATCTGGCCATGAAAAGAATGTGGAAAAAACTGATTTGATATTAATTGGCCAATATTGATTTTATCAAATGACACCAAAGATTCATGTATTACTTAGAGAAAATCTTAAGAATGACTAAATTTGTTGTGTAAATAAAACATTTTTAAAGCTTCATCATGTGAAATTTTAATAAGTAAATAATAAAGTTGGATACTTAATAGCAAGGTCCCCCTCACTCCCCATCAGAAGATATTTGAATAAGAAAATCAAGATGAATCATTTTTCGTTCCTAATATTTAGGACTGGATAAGTGCAAATTCCTCAACTCTGACAGGTTTTCTTCCAGTTGAACCTGTTACCATAGTCTTCCAATTTTTGAGATATGTATTTTTTAAAGTAAGAAACTTCCATTTCTAGGAACAAAAGGATTTTAACTGCTCTTTCTATCTTCCCAAAGGATCTACTATCTATTGTCTCTTAGGGAAAATATCCTTTCCTCCTAGCAGAGACATGAATGGGAGTGGAAATGTAAGCCCTTAATTACTACAGATGTTACTTTATGGAATTTTTATTCCAGGAGAGCTACAGAATGAAAAGCTTATGCCCTAGAGTCCCCTCCCCATTCAATCTCTCTCTGGGTACTCATCTAGCTAAAAGGCAGTTAAGACTCTGAAGCATGCTTGCAGAAGACCTGCAAATCTAATCTTTTCTCTTTGTCTTAAAATGATATGGAATTCTATATGTAGACCAAAACTACAGAGAGGGTAGTGTGTGTGCATGCTGGCTGATTCTACATCATGTAGCAGGTGGTGGACTCACTCTACCCATCTACAATATTTTTGTTCTGTTGTGAAAGCTTCAAGTCTTCCCTTATGGATTCTAAATATGACCATCTTTTCTTAATACTGTTTTACAGCCATGTGAGGCTGGATGTGTTTCTATAAACACAAAGACAGCAGTGTAGATTGTTCACTTTGGGTTCATTCAGATTTAACTAAGTGAATGTCTGCTGTGAGCCTTTAGAGACTCTCTTCTCTCAAAGAATAAATGCAATAAAAGTCTGTTTTCTGTAGCTGCTGGCACTTAGTGTCAAACCATGTTATGCTGCACCACCCAGCAGTGACAATTTCATTTTAATATATGGGGCACATTTTAACAAGCCAAAACAGCCCCAGCAAAGATGGGAACTGCCAGGGGAAGGGTTCAGGGCTCCTCCCACCTTTCATGTGGAAACAGAACAAAAGTAAGACCTAGAAAACTGTGGGGGGGAGGAGAATGTATTTGAATAGCCATCTTTGTTAGAATGAGCCCATTTTCTTCTCAAGTTTCACAATTAACAGCTCTAAAATGCCAGCTCGAGCTATCTAAAATCTGGCACACGCTTCAGTTGAAACTGACACTAGCATTATCAAGTGAGTCTGAAAAGACAGCACACCAGACACAGCTTCCTTTACATGTCGCTTTCAGACGGGCCACTGAATCATTACAACTGCATCTATTCTTTCTAGGCGGTAACTGAGCCCCCTTGTGTCTCTCAGAACAGCTGAGTACCAGGCAAACCATTCACCTGACAATACATTAATTGGGCTCTTACAAGGCTCCAATCATTGTATAAAGCTTCAGGGTTTTCTGTTAGGTCTGATGTTTAAATACAAACACACATTAAAGGTCTTGTTTGACCTTTTCTTCTTGTCTCAGTGCCTAGAAATGACTGGTTTCAGTCATTTGAAACACATTGTAGAATTATGCTGCCTTTTTTAAAAAACAACAGTTACTAAGAGGAGCTGGCTTCACAGCCAATACAAATCCCACAGACGAATTATATCAGATGAGAGCCTGATCCAATATTAGTAGAATGTTCTGGGTCAAACTTAACAGGCAGAGGTACAAAACTATTTTGCAAAATCATTTGCAATGTACCTATTTTACTTCAATAGAAAAACTCTGTTTACGTTCTTAAAGCTATAAGCATTATTAACCATGTATTTAAAACAAATCTATCTTGTCATTTATTATGGTTAATGAGAGTCTTCCACTATTGTGAAATGTTTGTGGTTTTGCAATCACAGTCTCCATACAAATTATTGGCAATGGAAAGCATCCAATGTTGCAAGCCAAACATTTCCATTTCCGGTAAGATTTACGCCGTCATCAAAGTTTTTTAAGTATGAAAATGTGTGCTCTTTTAGACCTTTCAAAAACAAATTATGTCATTTACTTCTTAGTCCCTTGTAATGGAAGGAATAATAATGAGTCCTAGGCATAAAGATGAATGAAAGAGTTGAATTTTCTTAGTTTTTGAAATTCGCTTTCTTCCTCTCAGGCACCTGACATTCTTAGGCTGCAAGTGTCATCCATGTGAATTGTAAACCAGAATGCCCTCCCGCCATTGCTTTATGGAGGCACCAAGGCATTTTGGTACTGTCTTGCTCAGCATTACATCACATTCTTCTTGGGAAATGGAACTGTGAATAATATTTCACTAATGAAACTCCTCTTCGAAGTTTTTAGAATCCCAAAATTTCAGGACTATAAGTGGTCTGAAATATCAACTTCTACATTGTGGAGATGAAGAAACCAACTGTGGTTCATTCCCCTAAAGACTAAGTAGTGGATTAATGTGGAATAAATATCTGTCTTTTAACTCTCAGTTCTGGTAGTTCCTTTGGGATTGATGGCTCTCCTTGCTGGCCATGTCATCCTTCCTGATTCCTTATAGACTTACTCACTTCAGCCTATATGAAATTAGATAAAACCTGTTATCTCCACACCATTCAGCCACTATTAACTAGAACAACTATTTTTTAAAATATCAATATATGCCATTATGATATGACAAAGCACATGTCAGTATTATTCTTTTCAAAAGGCCATGGGTTGTGTAGGTCCTATCATGAGAAAAACATCAGACAAACTCAGGTGTGGAGACATTCTCTAGGACACAGGATCAACACTATTCAAGGGGAACAAGGAAAGCTTGAGAAAGTGTCACAGACCAGAGCAAGGTGGTGAGATGGGACAACTAACTGCTACATGGTACCCTGGATTGGATCCTG